TTCAAGATAGTCAAAATATCTTTCTTTCACTTTAAAAATATCGCTGGACTACGTCCTGCGTTATCGCTAACTGTAGCTGAAAATCTGATCAACACACTTGTCTTCTCCCAAATTGACTACTGTAACACTTTACTCGCTAGTGTTTCTAAATCCACATTGAACAAACTGCAGTACTGTATGTCCAAAATTGGGTAGCCAGAGTCTTGACACGGACTAGTGCAAGTGTTCACATAACTCCTATCCTGGAGTCCTTGCACTGGCTTCCTGTCAAGTTTTGTGTCGACTTCAAAATTCTCATGCTCACCTATACGGCTCTGCATGGTTTGGCACCTTATTACCTGTATGAGCTATTATCATCCTACTTACCTCCTTCCAACCTTCGCTCTTATAATTCTGGTCTCCTATCTGTCCCCCAAGCCCATCTACACTCTATGGGTGACAGAGACTTCTCCTGTTATGCCCCAAAGCTCTGGAACTGTATCCCCAAGGATATCAGAGAGTAACCTTCTCTAAACACCTTCAGATCTAGACTCAAACCCTTCTTTTTTAGAAGAGCCTTTACTTAACTGGTTCTGTTCTTTACCCCTCTGCCCCTACTGTATTCAGTACCCCCATCTACTGTCTCCTCTCATTGTGCATATGTCTGCAGTGGAACTTGTTCTATAGCTCAATAAGGTCACAAAACCACAAAAGGGAAGGAAACAAAAATAAAAATAGTCTTTATCTGTAAAGAGAAGTTGAGAAGAGGGGTGCCGTCACTAACAGATCTTTTATTCTCCTAAGCAATGAATCTCCTCGCTGTACTGGCCATTCTGTCAGGTAAAAAGAGTTCTCTCATTGCAATCTTGTTTAATGGTCTGATGAAGAAGATAATAATATTTAACAATTAATAACAGTTTTTAGATTTGCCTTATAATTAAGTTGAAACCGACTGTTTTCATAATGCAAAAAGAGGAAACTGAGCTAACTCTTCTACAGTGAAGTGTTGCCCAGTGATGTATATTTGTAGATACTGCTGCACAGACAGGTGTTATATCAGTGTGGTAGTAAGAACACTGAACTTCACAGTTTGATAAATGTCTTACATAAACAGGACCTCAGCACAGCACACTCAGCACTAGTCTTAACATAAGTGTTCATGTAAAATATTGTTACTAATGGGAAAACTGGTGAATATCAGGAATTAACCAAGTGGTTTAGTCAATA